CGCAGCCTGCCTGGATCCCTAACGCTCAGGCAGGCCTCCACGGCTGGCTCCCAACAAGGCACTATAACACAAAGTAGAAGAAAATGACTTGACCAGTTAATGTCAACTGATCTCTGTCCACGGCCATCCCAACACTGAAACAATGGGGTTAGGAATGTAGTAGCTATGGTGGCAATGGTGGACTCCCACTTACTAAGGCTGACCTAGCTACTCCACTGCCAAAACAGAGTCCAATGCCGAGCCCCCAATTTGGCATCACCCTGAGAAGAAACCAACTAGTCACTTATTGATAAATGGATTACATTGGATCCTTTCCAAACCAAACCTGGAAAGAGCTCAATTCATTTGATAGGACAAATTGATTCATTTGACTTATTCTTATAAGTTTAATTTTCTTACCTGCGGTGCCTCAGCCAGGCCTATTATCCAAGTTTGCTTAGTGTCTGATCCATCAGCACTGGATCTTTCACAGCATCACAATGGACTATGGGACTCGCTTTACAACAAAGGTGTGTCAATGCACATATGACCATGGTATGACCATATGCCACACCATCTGAAGCCACCAGTCTGATAGATCAATGGGATAATAGTCTTTCAAAGACATACATGAAGCTGGGCTCAGTGGCTCAGCCTGTAATCCCGCACTTTGGGAGGCTGAGGTGAGCGGATTGCCTGAGCCCGTGGGTTCGAGACCCACCTGGGCAACTTGGCAAGACCTCATCTCTACAATAAATCAAAAAATTAGCCAGGCATGGTAGCACGTGCCTGTAGTTCCAGCTACTTTGAAGGCTGACACAGAAGGATTGCTAGAGCCCAGCAGGTCGAGGCTGCAGTGGCTGGGAATGTGCCACTGCACTCCAGTCTGGGCGACAGTGAGACTCCAACTCAAAAAAGTCTGGGCGCTACCCTTCAGAATGTGGTATACATCTTAAACTAATGACTGTCATGTGGTACTGTGTCCCCAAGAGGTAGGAATACATGTGTCCAGGAATGAGGGTTAGAAGTAGGACTATCCATGCTTACCATTACTCCCAGTGACCCATTAGAATATCTATGCTTCCTGTACCTATAACTCTAGGCTCTGAATTTCTAGAGGCTAAGGTTTCCAGCACAGAATGCTTCTGCCACAGTACACAGCAGGAATCCCATTAGACTTTAAGCTACCCTGCTACCAAGAGACCAGTAGACAAAAAAAAAAAAGATTTGCTTTCCCAGCAGAGTGAATTTCTCCTTATCTGATAATAAGGAAGAGGCAGGACCGCAGGGAGCAGGGACAATAGGGATAGTATCCAAGGGCTCCCCTGGGGCACCTCTTATAGTGCTCCACAATGCAGTTTTGATCACAAACGGGGCAGGTTGCAGCTGAAAAGGCCATGGAAACCAGGGGCTCAGACTCCTTGAGCTATGTCTCCCCTTAGGTCAGAAGAGGTACTAGCTGAGGTTGGGAGCAGTCCAGGAAGGGTGACAAAGGAGGGAGGTGATGGCCAACAGATGGAGCCCCCAGAACAGCTGTACTAGTGGGACTGTAATTCGTCCCATGGACTTTCCTTTCATAAACTTCTCCCAAAAAAAGAGACCAGCCAGACTCTTAAGTAGGCTGTCTAAGGATGGAGTGAAATGATCACAGGAAATAAATGGACCCAAGCAGTGCAAGGGGTGAACTGCGTGGATGCTGTGTGACAGCACCCAGGTCCCCGCGTCAGAACTGCCTTTTCTCCTGGGTTCTACAATTCTTGTCCCATAAGGACTCACAGTTGAGTTCTTCAAAGGCATTGCCCTCAACAGAAGCAACTGCCTCACCCAGGTTCACACCCCTCTCTGGGAACAGCTCACACAGATGATATGCCCCTTGCCTCAGTTCCGGATAATTCTGCATGGTCATCCCAGCCTGAAACCTCCCCACGTCATCAACTGAGGTTTCTGTTGAGACCTCACCAAAGTACACCTTCTCTCTCTGCCCAATCTTGCTTCCCTCCCTCCCTTACAGGTGTTGTTTCTGCGCCCCCTCAGTGAGCCACCTGCACAAACCTCCATTTTAAAGTTAGTTTCCCAGAAAACCCAACAGATGACAACGCACATTTAGAGATATGAAATAACTACCAGGAAAAAATATATAGTTTAAAAAGTTAAAAGTGGCTTTCTCTAGGGAGAGGCATAGGGGTGAGGAAAAATGGGGAGGGGACTGCTGTGCTTTTTGTTGTTTTTAGCATGCACGTATTACTTCCATAATTAAAACTTTTTTCATTTAAAAAGTGTAAGCATCTGACACTGTCACTCTCTTGCTTTAAACCCTTCAATTGTTTTCCGTGGCCCTTAGAAAATCTTTAACATAGCTTGTAAGTCCCTCTCCATTTGGCCCCTGCTGAGTTTCCTGTCTTCTTTCTTTCTTTTCTTTTTTTTTGAATTGGATTCTCACTCTGTCACCCAGACTGGAGTGCAGTGGCTGCTCCCGGCCACTGCAGCCTCACCTGCTGGGCTCCGGCGATCCTTCTGCCTCAGTCTTCTGAGTAGTCGGAACTACAGCTGTGCGCTACCACGTCCAGCTAATTATTTTTGATTTGTTGTAGAGATGAAGTCTCGCCAGGTTGCCCAGGCAGGTCTCGAACCCGCGGGCTTAGGCAATCCACTCACCTCGGCCTCCCAAAGCACGGGATTACAGGCTGAGCCACCAAACCTGGCCCTTTTTTTTTTTTAAATACAATTTTTTTGTAGAGACAAGGTCTCACTATGTTGTCCAGGCTGATCTCGAACTCCTGGGCTCAAGCAGTCCTCCCGCCTCAGCCTCCCAAAATGCTGGGATTATAGGTGTGAGCCAACATGCCCGGCCCCTATCTTATTTCTTTACCAATCCTTCTCACACTCTCTGCTACCTGCTGTTCTAAAATTTCTATTTCTCTTCTTCATCTCTGGGCTTCAAAGGTGCTGTCTCCTCTGTCTGGAATTCTTCACCAGTCCTCCACTCTACAAGGTTCACTCTTGTTCCACATTACATTCCAGCTTAGATGTCACCTGCTCAGGGAGAGATTATCTTGGGATCTCTTCTGTCACTGCTGCAGCACCTGTGTGTCTTCTTTCTCAGCATCAATCTCCAGAAGTTACCCGTTTAAGGTACACAATTTCTTTGTTCATCCACAAAGACTGTCTGTCTTGTTACTGCTGTATTACTTGCACCCAGGTTAACTACAGCACAGTAGATGGAAAATGTTTATTAATAAGTGAATTTTACCAAAATATTTACTAGAGTCCCAGCTCTATAATCTTCAACAAGTTAGATAACCTGTCTGAGCCTTGGTGGGCTCAAGTATAAAATGGGATGAAAATAATATCCACCTTAGAGAGTTGTTTTGAGGGTTAAATGAAATATGTCAGTAAAGCCCTTAGTGCAGTGCCAGGATACAGTATTTGATAAATGCATACTTAGAAATAAAGAAAGGCTGTGTCAATTCCCAGTTACAACAGCAGACCTTAACACTATCACTCTTTATGCTTTCCAACATTGAGTACTATGTTTTAAAATATTTTTGTAAAAATTATAGGCCCCCCAAAAGAGGCATCTCATGGTTTCAAGCCAACATGTGTCTTCAAGCCAACAAATTTTGTTGATAAGATGGCTGTGCTCTACTGCTCCATGCCATGTACACCATAAAGAAAGCAAATATTCAGTGCTCCTCCCTCTTCCTGTCACAGCTTATGGAGGGAGACAGAGAATCTGAGAAAGGAGCCCCCAGTGTGGAGGTATATTGTACATGGCCTGGGCAGCAAAATTGGCAGTTATTTTTCACAGTCCTTTCAGGTTTTGTCAGTGTTCTCTTGCTTGTCCTTCCAGGAAGGCTGTGCGGCCCAGCTCTCCTCAGCCAACCCTAGTGGAGGCCGCTGCTTGAATGTTTTCAAGTGAGGTAGAACCCGGAGGCCCAGAGGCCCCTCTACACTTCCTGTGTGGGGTTCAGAAATCCGCCTCCCCTTCCAGCTTCAGGTGCTTGCTTCGGAAAATGGTGAGTCTCCCTCTTATAAAGCCTTCCTTTTTCAACCTACCATTGGGAACAACGGCCCCAGGGTCCTTATCTCCAGCAGATGCTTTGAAAAGGTCCTCTGGTTTCTTTTTTTTCAGAAATAGTAAACTGACAGGTTTCCGCCATCTTAGTGGAGTAAGCGTCCTGTGAAAAAAGGATGCAGTCGGGCACTCTCTGGAGAGTTCTGGGACTCTGCCTCCTAGCAGGTGAGTAGGATGGAATGAAAAAGGGTGGTGTGCCTCCAGATCACTGCAAGGCTCACAGCCTTGCCTGGCACTGCCCAGTGGTACCAAGGAGCCTCCATTTACCAGCAGATGTAAAGAATTTTGTGCTATGTTAGGGTAGGGGATTATAGCTGGAGGCTAACAACAACAACAAAAAATATGCCACAGGTGCCTGGGAGAGTGTTCAGGAAGCAGCCAAAGAATAACAGATGGAATAATTATATCTATTGAGAGCAAAGAGGTCTCACTGCCTCTGAGAACAAGCTCATTCTGTTGGTGAGTTTACCCAGCCCTTAAGAACAAATACAAAAGAGATGAGAAGGGTAAAGCACCTCTCCATGTCTTGGGAGACCAGATGGTCTAACCCAAACTTTACACAGAGAATATATAGCAAGTTTAGTTTCTCTGAGACAAAAAAACACCTCGTAATTTTCAGTCCTTTTCAGGCAACCAAGAACTTTCAGCTAATTTAGTTAGGGTTTTCTTTCTGACTTTATTTTATGGCTAGTAACAATGAGTGTTCGCTACTGTTTATGGTCTACTAGACTCTGTGCTAGTGTGCTTTCGTTACATTAAGATTTTTGAGCCCCCCAAAACCTTCTAATTAGGTTGTGTTACTGTCAACATCCTCATTTCAAGTATGGAAACCTAAGGATTAGAGAGGCTGAATAACTTGCCCAGCTATTTAAGGATAGAGTCAGGATTTGAACCCAAGCAAAGTCCAGTGTTTATACACTTAATTACTGGTTATACTACATCCTAAGGAGAGTGCTTACTCTGGCACTTCATCCATCATTAGGACTTCACGCCCTCATTCTTTCAAATTTTTTTTAATAAAAAAATAAACATTTATTGAATGCCCATTATGTGCCAACTACTCTCAGGCAATAGGAGTACAAACATAATAAGCTGTGTGCATACCCTCAGGCTAACAGCAACAAGTTATAGATTCTGAATAATAGCACCATAACTTAACTACTGCTAACTTGAAGCTAGGACATGTAGTTTCCAATATTTGCTATAGTACAGGCTACCTTTCACTTTCTTTTTTTAAAAATTATTTTTAAATTATATATTTGGGGGAACAAGCACAGATTTCTGACATGCATATATTACATAGTGGTAATTTAATTTTTTAAAGCAATACGGGATATGAATTAATAAATAACCGAGAGCATTTACATACCTCATATGAGATAATACCAAAAAAGTTGTTATTTACTGAGTGCCAGGTATTATGTAAAGAAAAATTATTTACATGTGTTAACTGACTTAATTCTTACTTTCACCTAGAAAGGAAGGTGTTATTTCCCCTATTTTACAGATGAAGAACTTAATACTCAAAGTAGTTAAGTAACTTGTTTAAAACCACACAGTTAGTAAGTGCTAAAGCTGATTTGGGAAACCAAATGGCTGCCTCAATTGAGGCAAAATGGCTCGTGATAGTTTTATTCCAAAGACCTAGAAAATGCAAGCCCCAGTCAGGCTCAGTGGCTCACCCTGTAATCCCACGCCTTGGGAGGCCGAGGTGAGTGAATTGTCTGAGCCCGCGGGTTCGAGACCTGCCTGGGCAACTTGGCGAGACCTCATCTCTACCGTAAATCAAAAAATTAGCCGGACGTGGTAGCGCGCGCCTGTTGTTCCAGCTACTTGGAAGGCTGAGGCGGAAGGATCACCGGAGCCCAGCAGGTTGAGGCTGCAGTGGCTGGGAGCGTGCCACTGCACTCCAGTCTGGGTGACAGAGTGAGACTCCAACTCAAAAAAAAAAAAGAAAAAGAAAATGCAAGCCCCTCTCTCAGAGCCACAACCATGATGTCTTCACTTCCCGCTTCATCTTGGGTTTCTCCAACTTGAATGTATGCAGAATCACCTGGGCATCTTGTTAAAATGCAGCTTCTCTTCCAAAGATCTGGAGTGGGACTGAGATTCCACATGTCTAATAAACTCTCAAATGTATTAATCTGTTACTAATCCAAGGAACACATGGAGTAGCAAGGGGCAGGATGTGACTCCTGCAGGAAGTGGCCGGACATTTTCTTAGAGGCCTATGGTATAAAGTAAACTATGGCTTCCATTGAAAAAAAAAAAGTGGGAGGAAGGATATAAAAGACCCCAGCATCCCTAGAGAGTTGGCATCATTAGAACATGCTCAGTTTGCTCTGGAAATGAAACAATGGGGAGCATGTCTCACCCAATGTAAAGGATTTGGTCGAAGAAAGGTCCAAGCATGCAGAATGTTTTCAGGCAATGTCAAGGAAACTGGCCACTATAGTGAATCTAAGTTATGCTAAGTGGGGGAACTCTGGAGGGGACTCAGTAGAAATGTGATTAGGCTCTTCAACACATAGACTCCAGCTGATGACTAATTGGTATTTTAAATATTTCCATCTCTGGTTCACGTAGAAAAACTGAGCCATCAGACAAGCAGGAGGCAGAAATGACACAAGAGTCCCAACAGCTTGTTTTTTTCCCACAGAGATCAGTTTTCAAAATGAAGGCTAGGGCACAAAATTCTTTTGCTATCTCTCCAGTCATCCAAAAACAGTCCTAACTTTTTCTGACTTCTGCTTGTCAAGTATCGTGAGCTCATATTTAGTGCTAGATGCTTCCTTGCTCTGTTTTCTCCCAAACTGCCCAGGAACCCCTGGTCGATAACAGCAGTAAGTGCCACTTTTCTGGAGTATAGAAATGATTGTGACCCAGCAAAGATTGGGAAGAAATTTAGATGCAATAAATGGTGAGACTGAAACACAACTCTTTTTTCTGTTTGGAATTGTAGGCACCCATAGCATTTATTAACTCTTTTTTTCTTTTCCTTCTTATTTATTTTCTAGTTGGTGCTTGGGGGAAGGAAGGTGAGATGTGCTTTCTTTCTTTGTTACTAAATCATCCCAGCATTCTTTGTGTTCACGAATGGAGCTTTCTCTAGGCCTCCTACAGAAGAACTTCCATAGAGACCAGTAAAAGAAGTCTCTGCCATCTTTTCCTTTGCTTTTCCTAATAAGTCTGGAGATATTTCTAGCCCAGAAGAGGGAAGCAACAGAGATAGGAAATAACAAGTCTTAACAATTCAAAAGAAAAATTGAGGCCATTAAATTAAGTTGATATACTAACAGTTTTCATTTGTTTGCATTTCATATTTGATATGAGATTCTGTAGAAGTTATATCGCCAGAATGTATGCACGGGGCTTCTCTGGACAAGCCTCTCAGCAATATTTGGGTGTACACTCTGAATCATCTGTCTGGATGCTCTGAATATGTGTGTGTACCTGGGTGTTCATGTGTGCACCTGCATATGAGTGTGCCTGGCCTGAAGTCACTTTCTCAATCACAGTAGTAAGTCAGGCTGTCCCAACCTTGGAAGCCTCTCTCTTCACTCCATACTGAGTGAACAAGTGTTGGACTTAAAGGCAACCACTGTGCCAGTCTACATTCTGCTGCACTGCCTAATTTGTAGTGTCCTTTGGGGCCATTCCTGTCAATAACCTTCAGATATTTCACGCAGAATGTGAGGTCTAAAACAGCTGTTTATATACAGCCAAGGGAATTTGAAGATCCATTGTTTCCTAAAGTTTGAGGGAAGAGTCCTAACCCATGGGAGCAGGGTTTGATCCTATTTGCTGATGGAAACATTACTAATGGCTTGTTTTCATTTCCTTTTCAGATAGTGATGAAAATGGTAAGATAATTTTCGCTTTGTATGACCTTTTTTCAAATGTGGAACAAAATGGTCACAGAGGACAAACACAGTAATAAACACTGAGAACTGAAGCTATTAAAGGGAAAATATGGCTGGGCTCAATGGCTTATGCTTGTAATCACAGCACTTTGGAAGGCTGAGGAGAGAGAATTGCCTGAGCTCAGGGATTCGAGACCAGCCTAGGCAACATAGTGAGACCAGGCATGGTGGTGCACGATTGTAGTTCCTGCTACTTGGAAGGCTGAGGTGGAAGGATTGTCTGAGCCCAGCAGTTCAAGGCTGCAGTAGCTGTGAGCGTGCCACTGTGCTGCAGCCTCGGTGACAGAGTAAGACTTCTGCTCATAAACACATAAATAATAAAAGAAAAAAACAATTCAGTGGGATCTGTATGAATTACTCCTATGTTTGTTGCTAGCTGTTAGGCAAATTATAGCTATTCATGTATGTATCCCTGAGCATACCATCAAGGAAGAATACACATGTGGGTCTAGAAATACCATGTATTTTTTTTTCTTTAACTATGAAACTTGAGATGCCATGTGTTTTTGTATAAATCATGAGATCCTTAAAGGTAGAGACAGTGTCTCATTTATCTATCCCAGTCTCTAGCACATAGTAGGTGCTCAATGAATTTTTTGGAATGAATAAACAATCATATGAATGAATTGCTAATTCCCTTCCCCCCAGAAGCCAATAGTCCTGTGTGAGACACAAATTATTGAAAATATCATGTGTTATGTGCTATGATTTGAGTAGATACAGAGTAAAATGAGGTATAAAAAGGGGAATCAAGCCGGGCTCGGTGGCTCAGCCTGTAATCCCGTGCCTTTGGGAGGCTGAGGTGAGTGGATTGCCTGAGCCCATGGGTTCGAGACCCGCCTGGGCAGCGAGACCTCATCTCTACAATAAATCAAAAAATCAGCCAGGCGCGGAATTACATGCCTGTAATTCCGGCTACTTGGAAGGCTGAGGCAGAAGGATCGCCAGAGCCCAGCACGTTGAGGCTACGGTGGCTGGGAGCGGCCACTGCACTCCAGTCTGGGCAACAGAGTGAGACTCCAACTCAAAAAAAAAAAGGGGAATCCTCAGCTCTGCAGAGTGTAGTTGGGAAATGCTCCCTGGGGCATGTGATTCTCGAGCTGGGTTTTAAAAGATGAGCTTGTGCTTTAGAAAAGAAGAATATTTTAGCAAAGGAGATAAAGCTATATGGTGAGGTTAAGAGTCTAACTCTGAAGCTAGACTTCAGAATGTTTAAATTCTGACTCAGCTCTCTACTTGCTAGGTGTCTTTAAATAAGTAACTTTTCTGTTCCAGAGTAATATCATGTGTAAATGGAAACAATAATGGTACCTAGATTGTAGGGTTGTTATGAGGAGTGAATGAGTAATATATTTAAGGCACTTGGAACATTATTGACAAAGAAGACAGTGAATGAATTTTAGCTATTATTATATGGAAAGCATGCTAACTGTAGATAATAAGCATTAAAGTTTCTTGAGCATGTATGTTTTGGTATTGCTCTATATATTTTACCTGAATTTCCTCATTTAATTCTTCTAACATTCCTATTCTACAGATAAGGAAACAAAGATTTAAAAAATAAGCAGTTTAATCACAGAGATATAAATGCAGATTTATATGCTACTGAAGCTCATTTTCTTATTCATGATGAAATTCTGTCTCTGGATGTGTCTAAAACCTTTGTAGGCTGGGCGCAGTGGCTCATGCCTGTAATCCCAGCTCTTTGGGAGGCCAAGGTAAGAGGATTGCCTGAGCCTAGGAGGTTGAAACCAGCCTGTGCAACATGGCAAGACCTCATCTTTACAATAAAATCAAAATTAGCTGGGCATGGTGGCACATGCCTGTAGTCCCAGCTATTTGGGAGGCTGAGGTGGAAGGATCGCCTGAGCCCAGCAGGTTGAGGCCGCAATAGTCGTGATTGTGCCACTGCACTCCAGTCTGGATGTTAGAGTGAGACTCCAACTCAAATAAGTAAATAAAAATCAAATGAAGCCGGACGCAGTAGCTCAAGCCTGTAATTCCAGCACTTTGGGAGGCCGAGGTGAGAGGATTGCCTGAGCCCGTGGGTTCGAGACCAGCCTGGGAAACATAGTGAGACCTCATCTCTATAGTAAAATCAAAAAATTAGCTGGGTGTGGTAATTTTTTGTGGTTCCGGCTGCTTGGAAGGCTGAGGTGGAGAGATCGCCGGAGCCCAGCTGGTTGACACTGGGGTGGCCATGAGCGTGCCACTGCACTCCAACCTGGGCTGTGGAGTGAGACTCCTACTCAAAAAATATATAAATAAATAAAACTTTTGCGAGCATACTGATTTCTAAACATAGACATTGAGGCCCTTGTAAGAGCATGAGTAAGCTGAAGCTCTGTTACTGCATTTGTGCCAATAAAAGTTATGAGCAATTTTCCTAACATTTCTTTTTTCAGACCAACATACCAAGCAGAGCATAATGTCTACGTACCTTTATACTATTGAATTTATGATTTCTAGTTCATTTAACAACTCTAAGAAACATTAGTGTTAAAAATTACTTGTAAAATAAAATCATATCAATTATCTATTGTCAATATACTTAACTCCCAATTATTAGCAGGTGGAAAACCTGGAGAATGATTTGTTTCCATTCTATGCAGTCTTAACCAGAGGTCTGCCTGAGCAACTGGGTCAGAGTTCAGTTCGGCTCTTGAGGGAGCAGAATCCAAAGGAGGAAAGGAATTAACTTTTTCTTGAGCATCTGCTGTGTGCCATCCACTTTCACCCTCTTAATCCATTTAATTCTCACAAAAACCCTGTGAGGTGGGTATTTTGTCTCCATTTCCCTGATGAAGAAATTGAAGCTCAGACAAGTTAAGTGACTAGCCCTTGGTCACACAGACTAGGGCAGATCTAGGATTCAAACACAGGGCTTCTGACTCTGAGTCCAGTGCTCTCTAACCCAGTAGCATGCTGTCTCTAAACACTACCACCACCTCTTCTCTCTGTCAGAGGTGGTATCCAGGCTCTAGCTGAGTCCAGTGTTCCTTCCACAAGTTTTCCAAGAACCAAGGATGGACTGCCACCCCCGCCCACCCCACCCCCCAAGTTCTATCTCCCGGAACAAAATGGCTGTTGTGGGAAATGTGTCTGGATCTGCAAATGACATTAGTGGATTATTAGTTGATTTCAGTTGTCCACACCAATGGGCCCTCCCTCTAACAAAAACAACTGAGAGTTAATTATGCTCAGCAATAAAATAAAACTACTTGCCATTGGAAGAACCATTCCCACAAATTTTATAGTGTTTCACATAATTTAAAGAAAAAAAATTACATAGAATAAGAAGAAAGATGCTTGTTCTCTATTTTGAGGGATTCTTGTTAATTGTAAGAAATAATTTTTGAATAATGAGAAATAGGTAGGCCCAAGAATCAGTGATTCAATGGTGTGATAGTCTCTGAAAAGGCCCTATCTATCTGGAATATGTTCTGGCTAATACAAGAAGTAAGCTTGATGACTTCTGGAATTTTTTAGCTTTAGAACATTAAGACTACCTGGGCTCGGTGGCTCAGCCTGTAATCCCGCGCCTTGGGAGGCTGAGGTGAGTGGATTGCCTGACCCCGCGGTTCGAGACCCTCCTGGGCAACTTGGCGAGACCTCATCTCTACAATAAATCAAGAAATTAGCCGGGCATGGTAACACGCGCCTGTAGTTCCAGCTACTTGGAAGGTTGAGGCAGAAGGCTCGCCATAGCCCAGCAAGTCGAGGCTGTGGTGACCGGGAGCGGCCACTGTACTCCAGTCTGGGCAACAGAGTGAGACTCCATCTCAAAAAAGAAAAAAAAAAAAGAACATTAAGACTTTCTGAGCTTCAGTGGGTCTGAATCTAAGAGTACATGCTGGTATATCCTCAATTTGATGTATCCAAGTTATATTTATAAACTAAGTCACTTCTAAGAGCAAAATCTCATGAGCTAAGCACATACCCTGCCTTCAAGGCTTGGGGCTCCCTAAGTGATGAGGCCCTTTTTGGGTATTCTTGAGGGCAGTATCTGGTCCCACTAGAAAAATTGTTACTGCATTTTAAACTTAAGCCACAATATTTTCTCACAACTCTTTCCTTTTTTCATTTTCAGATGATTTCCCACAGAAACGTGAGTTTATCAGTCTTCTATTCATGCCTTGTCTGAGGATGCAGTTTGATGGGTAGAGAAGAAGGAACTGTTTGAGGGATTAACCTCAAGAACTGAGGTTCTCCCAGCATTCCATTCTCAACTTCCATTTTAGAAAGGTTCCAAATAGGAATTTTTATGGGTTTTTCTTTATGTCCGTCCTCCCCTGCCCAAGCCCCATGTCCCTGCCTAAACCTGAAACCACCTTTCAAAAGGTTCTCTAGTACCCCTCCTCCCACACATCTGCTCTCCCACACTCCAGTCAACAGAGTTCCCTTCTGACAAGCAAATCTAAGACCCAGCTGACAGATGACTTCCTGCATTTGGTTGGTTCTTCTGTCACTAATATGCCTTTTCTGATATTTTCCTGGTTTCTCCCTCCAATTTCCTTCTTTCTCTCCTATTTCCCAGCATATAAAGTCTCCATCTCAGGAACCAGGGTAGTACTGGTATGCCCTCTGGAAGTTGACTCTAAAATAAAATGGACAAAAAATGGTAATAAGATGAGCAATTATCACGAGGACCACCTAATATGGGAGGATTTTTCAGAAGTGGAGAACAGCGGTGATTATGCCTGCTCTGCAGACAACACAGAGGCAAGCCATCATATCTACCTGAAAGCAAGAGGTAATTCAGGTCTCCAAAGCAGATGCCACCAGGCATTCTCAATGATTTCCCCTAACCCAACTCTCTGTCCCCTGCCATCTTTGGGCTTTCTCCTACGGTCAGTCCTAAGACTCTCTTGTGCCACATAGCATCAGCATTTTCTAGAATATAGATTAAACACCAATATGAGGCTGTCTGGGTAACCTCAGTCTGTTCTAGATCTAAAATAGCAACTTCCCAAGAGACAGGTTCATTTGCATTGTATCACTCCCAGAGTTAGGGCACACCAGTAAGAGTTTATCTAAAGTTTTATCTGGAGATAAATTCTTCAGAAGGACTTGAAAAGGGACTCAAAACCACAATCATAAAATATCATCGGCTAAAGTATAATAATAAAATAATAATGATAGCTAGCATTTATTGAGGGCTTATTAAGCTTTAAACACTGTACCAAACTCCAGGGATTTTTTTTCATGCAATCCCCTCAACAACAATATATGCTAAGTGCTATTTTATTCCCATTCTGTAGAAGAGGAAATAGAGGCTTTGTGAGTTGAAAACACATTTCACAATTCTCACAGCTGGTGAGTAATATTGATGGGACTCGAACCGAGGACTATTTGACACTAGAACCTCTACCTATAACTACCATTCTTTGCTTGTTGTCTTTGTTGTTATAAATATATTGAAAAGAAGGGCTCTGGCCATGGCAAGCATGTGACTATTGACAGGGAAATGACCTGCATTTGTTCTTTCATCTCCAGTGTCTTTGTGTGTTTTCTTCCCCTCTTCTGTGTTTCTCCTCTTCTCTCCACCCCCACCCCTCACAGTATGTGAGAACTGCATAGAGGTGGATGTGATGGCGGTGGCCATAATTGTCATAGTCGACATCTGCATCACCCTGGGTTTGCTGATGCTGGTTTATTACTGGAGCAAGAACAGAAAGTCCAAGGCCAAGCCTGTGACACGAAGAGCAGGTGCTGGCGGCAGACCCAAGGGTAAGACTGTGAAATTGGGCCAGAGGAGACTCTTGCCAAGGGGGACATCCATCCTGGCTCAGGATGGGTGACAAGTCCACCGCTAGATCAAAACAGCTTCTATAGAGCATTCACTGTGATGCCAACGTCTCAACAGAGGGCTTCAAATCTCAAACCACGCCTCTTCTTCCCAGTCTAGAAAACAACAGGAAAGTTTATGAACATGATGGGCTTCCTCAGATGCTTGTCGGTGCTCTAGAGTAATCAGATTCATCCCCAAACTGTGGGAAGAGAGATTTTGAGATGTTCATTTCCGCCTTTTCCTTTCCTTTCTCCAGCGGAAAGAAACAATGGGAGGACTTCGAGCTGAGGAAAGTCACAAATTAATGAGAATAGTGTGGGGTCCTTAGAGATGGATGAAAGAAAGAAAAGGAAAAAGGGCAGCTGAATGGGGTGGAGGGAGTTGCCATCCTCAAGCTGGTTCTTACTGGCACATAGTGCTGTTAGATTCGGACACCCTCATGGAAGTTAAACTTTCCCCCTCCTTCTTCTGCAGGACAAAAGAAGGAGAGGCCACCACCTGTTCCCAATCCAGACTATGAGGTAAGAGGGGACAGAGTAGGTCAGGAAGCTGGGGGAGGGGGTGGGACTGTCTGCCAGACACTTCAGTCTCTCATTCAGCGTTCTCATGGCAACCCACCATGTACCATCCTCTGCCTCCTTTATGGTAGAACGGTATCGTCTCAAAGGCAGCATGGCTTCCACAACCATGGAGAGATGGGGGCGTTGGAGAGAAACACACTCCTTTCTCTGGTTTATTCACTGTTGGGATTTAGCTGTGGAATAGACCATGCATGCAAATTCTAGCACAATAAATTCAGGGCTGATATTCTACCAGCAAGCACCATTATAGTCATACCAGTCGTTAAAATATTAAAATACTTCATTGGTAAATAGCCCCAAGCTTCCCCCCCTACAAAGACACACACACACACACACACACACACACACACACACACACACACACACACAGTTAGATGTCACAGCCTCTCACCCACTGGACTGCTTCTTGATTTGGGGGTAACTGGCATAGCAGAAGACCACCAGAATTGTTCTGGCTGATTGGTGTGTGTTCACTACCAGTTAACTATTTTGAATATCACACCTGAATAATCTCAACAAATATTTATTGAGCACCAGCCAAGTATAGTATTTACTTTAGCCTAAGTGACTTATTTATTCCTCACAAAAGCCCTGGGAGGTGGATCTTTAGATTCACACCCCCCCACCTTTTTTTCAGTTAATCTCACTCTGTCCCCCAGGCTAGAGTGCAATGACATGATCATGGCTCACCACAGCCTCAACCTCCTGGACTCAGGAGATCCTTCTGCCTTAGCCTTCCAAGTAGCTGGGACTACAAATACAAGCCACTGCAACCAGCTAATTTTTAATTTTTTGTCAAGACGAGGTTTCGCTATCTTGCCAAGCTAGTCTCAAATTCCCAGGCTCAAGCTATCCTCCTGCCTTGGCCTCTCAAAGTGCTGGGATTACATGCGTGAGCTACTGTGCTCAGTTTAGATTCCCAGTTTAGATTTGGAGATGGGAAAGCTGACGCTCACAGAAGGAGGTGACCAGCTCAAGTCTCCTACCACCTGTGCCAAGTGAGAATTCAAGCCTGCATCCTAACCCCTTTCCCAAAGTTCTTTCCACTGCACCGAAGCTAGATCTTCAGTGCCTTTTCTTTCTTAGGAAGTACTTCCTCCCACCCTACTGACCACCCATCTCTATTCTCCTCCCAGCCCATCCGGAAAGGCCAGCGGGACCTGTATTCTGGCCTGAATCAGAGAGCTGTCTGACAGCTCTAGACAGATCTGGCTCCTCTCCATGAACCCTGCTACTCCCTGTTTCTGGGCAAGTCTTGGACCCCACAAGAGAATTGTTCCTCACCTCATGGTGAACTCATACCCTACATCCTTGTCCCCAGCTCCCTCCTTCCTGCCTTCTCACGGGTGCCCAAGCCTGGGATATTGCTGTTTTTCTGGTTTTTGTTTTTTGTTTTGTCCTTTGAAACATCCTTGCTAGTCACGTCCTCACACCTGGCCTATCCTCTGTCAGGATATTTATTTCTGTTACTCAGTCTCTACCGACTCCTCCCTTCCCCCACGGATGCAACTTCTTTCTTCAGTTAGTTGTCTTCCACCTCTAACTATTCCATCTACCTTTCTACTTGTCCTGCTTTGTATCTTGCAGCCCTCTCTGGGGGATGTGCTGGGTAAATGTTGGCAGAGATCCTGCCCCATTCCCAGACCTTGGCCCAGAGCCAGCCCTGGGCTCATCCCCTCTGCCTCCTCTGTAGGCCGCTGAATGGCCATTTACATCTCCATAAATGTTAGGCTCCTCTCAGCTGCAAGAGAAAAAAATAAAGTATATTTGACCAAAAGAGTTGCTGTCTCTCTTTTCTGGGAGGCCCTCAGAGGCTGCTTGTTTCCTAAGACCACTTTAGGTCTGCACTACCTTTGACTAAATTCTTAGCCAAGATCCCAAACACAAGCACTACCTGTTTTCCACAGTTGGTGGGGCATTATCTGAAGCTCTCTTTAGAGAGAAAGGGGAGAGGGCAAGGAAAGAAGAAGGGATGAAGGGAGAGTCGGAAAGAAGGAAAGAAACTTTGATTAATTTCTCTTGGAGGAAAGCATCAAAGGTGGCCGAGAATGACTGATGGGTCCCTGATGGAGTAGTCAGTTCAGAAAATGAGCAAGACAGAGGTCTTGGAAGAGAAATGAAGGTAAGTGGAAGCGTAGCGGGGTTTTAGGGATGGGACTCAGGTTTCCACAACCTGCCAGAAGAGCAGCTGAGCCTGGCTGGGGAAGTGGAGGAGGGAGCAGGCCTCACACCCCCACCCAGAGAGGCAGCAACCTGCAGCCAGAAGCAGGCTGTGGTTAAGCGGCGCAGGATGTGGGCTGCACTCGCTGAGCTAGGCTCTCTGGGAGTGAGGGTAACTGAGGTACAGCAGCAGCCAGGGGCTTGGAGGCCGTTGTGGGAGGGCTTTGTTCTCAGTCTCCCACAGCCCTCACTCAGCTTGAAGATACAGGAACCAGAGCATTCTGGAACTATTCTAGTTCAGCTCAAACCACTGGGCTCTCCTCCCTCCCTCTCTGCACTCAGAAACCTTCTGCTGACCACAGGGCTATTTAGATGTGTGACCATGACTAAAAAGGCCATGTGTGATTAGCAGCCCTCTCCATAGTGTACTCTCTCGGCCTTGGGCTGTGGCCACCACTTCTATTTGTTGGTCCTTGTTGTGGTGCTTCCTTCCCTCTAAACAACAACATAAGCTCAGAAGAAGTCTCCAGGATGTTGCCCATCACTCGCTGCTGATCAACAGAGTGGCCCAGGGGTGGCAGTTTTGTCTCAGGTATATTTGATTGTGCCAGATGAGGGAAGGCATGACTCAGTGAGATAAAAACAATAATGCTTATTAAGCAATAATATTTGTTAATAAAGCCCTATTTATTAAGAATTTACGGCCCAGCGCAGTAGCTCAGCCTGTAATCCCAGCACTTTGGGAGGCCTAGGCAAGAGGATTGCCTGACTCCGGGGTTTTGAGACCAGCCTGGGCAGCTTGGTTAGACCTCAGCTCTACAATAAATCACAAAAAAATTAGCCGGGTGTGATTGTGTGTGTCTGTAGTTCCAGAAAGGAACTTGAAAGGCTGAGGCAGAAGGATCACCTAAGCCCAGCAGGTTGAGGCTGAGGTGGCCATGATTGTGCCACTGCACTCCAGCCTGGGCAACAGAGTGAGACTCCAACTCAAAAAAGAAGAATTTACTATTCTTCAGAAATTGTACTTTGTGCTTCACAAGTGTTCTCTTGCTTAATCCTTACAATGACTCAACAAGACAGATGTTACAGTCCTCAGTTTACAGATGAGAATACTAAGGATCGAAGAGGGTAAGTCATTTGTCCAAGGTGCAGTGACTGTGAGGCAGAGGTGGAATTAGCAGCCAGGGCTGTCCAACTCCAATGCTTGGAACATCTGCCAATGCTGACTGTGATTATAAAGAATGTTCTCCATTGTTCTGTCTTAAAAGCTCTGTATTTAATTGTTTATGTATTTCTCCAATGAGTGCTTTCCTACTCATTCACGAGGGCTTATATGCTAAGTACTAAGAGGATACAACTAGGTCCTCTCTTCAAGAAACTTGAAATTATGCAAGAGTGGGCAAGCATGCCAAAAGTTTAACAGCAACACAAGCACAGGTGATGTGATTAAGCACCATGAGCGTTACAGTGCTGCAGGTGTTCAGAGGAGGAACTGAGAGATTTGAGGTAGTCAGAGAGTTCCATGCAAGAAAGACTTGATCTGGGCCTTGAAGGAAAGGGTGGATAGAATCTGTAGACAAAGGAGAAATCACTTTAAATTAGGGAGAAGCATATGAATGGACTTAAAGGCAACCAGCTTCGCCCTAGAGAAGCAAATCAGCCTAAGGAAAGGAGAAGGAAACTGACCATCGTTGGGCAAGTATTTGGGTTCTTTCCAAAGTACTAGCTAGCCATGCATTACTTAGTCCTTAATGTAACACTGCAAAGTAGGAATGATGTTCTCCATTTCACAAAATAGAAAACTGACTCTCAGCAATCTTCAGTAACTTCCTTAAGCTTCCACAGCAAGAAAGTGATTGTCCTGGAACTTAAACCCAGAAACTCTTCCCAAAATACCGGGTTCTGCTTGGCCAAAATACTGTGAGAATGGCAGGTCCCCAAATTACATCCTAGGACCTTGTGGTTTCTGGCCGTGCCTGGCCACGTTGAAGCAGAGAGGCTGAAGATCTTTGTCGCTTCTTGGCTCCCTCTCCCACCCCCCGGAGTGGCTGTGCCACACCTTCAGCACGCTTCTCTAGAACCCACACAATCCCTGCCCTACTTGCTCTGAGGGTAACTCTAGCTTCACAGAGAACAGGACCACCCACGGGGGCCTACAGCCAACCTGTTACCCAATCACATGCTTCCTTGTCTTCCCTTTCCTCATCAAGGATGGGACATTTCTTACTCACCTCCCCTCTCATCTTCTCCAAGGTCTCATGGCATCCCCTTTCTGTCTCCCCAGTATTATCAAACTCTCCCCTTTAATTTGACCTTTCCCCTCCTCTGCATGCTCACAGCTCTCCCGTGCTGAGATAAGCTCTCTCTAGATCTTGCATGCCCCCTAGCCAGATACTCCCCTTTCTCTCTCTCTGCCCTTTTTCAGCTAAGTCCAAAGAGAAGTCTCCACTAGCTAGGCCACCTTTCTCATTTCCCCTCCATTCCCCAGCCCTCTGCAGTCTGGCTTCCTCCTCTACCACTCCAGAACTTCAAATTCCAAAAGCTACTTGCCAGTTTCAAGAGGCATACCATGAGCTTCCAAGAGCAAACTTCTTGGAGGTATGTGAACTGCACTTCCTTGGCTTCCATTCTCTGTCCCTCCTTGCCTCTCTTGAAATTCCTTCTCACTCTGCCTCATGGGCTCCTCCTCTACTTGTGTCTTAAACACTGGTGCTCCTTGAGGTTCTATTCTCATCCCAATGCCCTTCACATTTCACCTATTTTCCTTAGATTCCCAATTCTTTATTCCCATACATGACCAGATATCCACTTGAACTTTAGACATATTCTGAGTGTATCCATGTGGGAGCCCACAGACTCCACAAACATCTCAGATTCAAGATATTCAAAACTGAAGTCACCATTCCACCATTCCACCTCAATCCCTCAAACCACCTGTATGTCCTGTCCCAGTAAAAATGACCACCATCTACCTTGTACTAGGCCAGAAACCTGGGAGTTGGTCTAGATGCCACCTGCAATCTTATCTTCCAACATCCAAATATCAAGAGAGGTAAGAAGAGGCAGAGAGTGGAAGCCAAGGAAATGAGCAGTCAACCTTCCACATACCTCCACTTGGGTGGGGGGGAGAGAAAGAGAGAGAGAGAGGGATTCAGAGAGAAAGACTTCATCATAGCCACTCCCCATTGCTCACATTACTGCCTGAGCTCTGCCTCCTGCCAGATCAGCGGCAGCATTGGATTCTTAAGAGAGCACAAACCCTATTGTGAACTACACATGCAAGGAATCTTGTTTGCGTGCTCCTTCTGAGACTCTCATGCCTGATGATCTGAAGTGGAGCTGAAGTAGTGATGCTAGCACTGGGAAATACAGATTAACACTAGCAGTGAGGTTTGACTGCACAGACCATAATAAATCAATTGCTTGCAGACTCATATCAAAACCCTATCAGTGATGGCAAGTGAGCCGAAGTACTTTAATTGTTCAGCTGCATCTGGTGGCATAATTATTGTATAATTATTCTTAATATAATATATAATTATTTGTATTGTATAACTATATATAATTATTTTATTCTATATTACATTATTTCATTATATATAACTATATTTACAGTATATTTTATTATATATATTTATTTTATATAAATGCTAAGACTTTCCTTTTTTTTCCTCCAACTTTCAGGGGTCACTGTTCATTGTTACCTTGTGTCCAATGTCTTAAAAACTCTAGAAAGAACTCCAGAGATCTGCAGAGGTTTCCCTCAAATCTTCAGCTGAGTGGTGAGCAGTGTATGAGTGTGAGGAAAGCACAAAAGGCCAAAGAAAGTCTACTTTAAAGAAATATTGCCCTTGGAGCTCACACAGGGCCAGAAATAGTTCCTATGCCCTCATAATTCAAGAAGTATTGGGAAGAACATTCGAAGGGTTTTGCCCAACAGTGGAGAAAAATTAACCCTACAGGAAACATTGTACTGGTCCTGCTTTAAAAAGTTTGAAGGCAAGACCTAAAGAATCAAACTCTTTACAAGTAAGTAACTGCAT